ATTTTTAAAAGGAGATTCTCCAGGACGATGCAAAACATGTCCCTGCGGGTGGAAAGAAAAAAAAAAAAATCAGAAAAACAGAAAAAAATAAACAATCCGGTGTGTACCTAAATAATGGAAGCGCAAAAGGGGGTACTACCCCAGCGGTGTAATTGGTCACACGTTTCATTGACTACTCGTCACTCCCAGTCACTCTGAGCCACTCCCAGCGTGGTTCTCTTTTCCCCGTTCTGTCTTTCTCATTACAAAGAATTTTTAAAGTTGCGCAAGACTTTGCAGTTGAAGGCCAGGTTGTAGCAGCACTTCACGTACAGTTTTTTTATTTCCTTCGTTTTGAGTCTGTACCTGCGGGGGGCAGAATGGGTAAAAAACTGGACAAATCGACAGCGACGTCGACAAAACGGGGGAGTACAACGTGCGATGAGCCACTTGTGGCCGTATGATGCAGTCTGGCCCAAGTGTGCCGAAATGGGAGCTTATTATGTTGCCCCCTTTTTTCTTCTTTTTCTTTTTTCCTTTTTTTCTACTTTTTTTTTTTCCTTCTTTTTTTTTTCTTTTTTTTCTTTTTTCCCCCTTGGTTTACTTTCGCCCCACGGTATAGATGTCCTCCCTGAACAGGTCATACACGATGAGGGAAAGGTAGAAGCGCTTGATTTTGACCCACTCGAAGTTCTCGCAGATCTCGTCTATGTTGATCCTGGGAGGGGGGCGCACACAAGGGAAAAGCATAAACGGGGAAAGTGTGAAGAAGCTATGTATGGACGAGGTCTGCATGAACAGGCTACGTATGAACTGTGTACGTACGGACGAGCTATGCACTAACGGGGGAACGCGTCTGCGCGCCCGTCCTCGCGCCCGTCCGCGGCAGGGCGACACCCGCTTACTCGCCGCGCAGAATTTTCTTGGCGCCGTCGGCGCAAAGGTCGTCGCTGCTGCACCCCTTGAAGCGCTTCAGCTTGTCCATGCTCAGATCGAAGTAGTGAAAAATCTTCCGCACGTCCCCCCCCTCGGGGCCACTGCTAAACGTGAGCACCTCCTCGTACACATCAAAGTGGATTTTGAGCGAAATCTCTGAGTTGACGCAGAAGACGAAAATCATCAACAGGAGATCCGTAGGGAAGCCTTCGACGGGGAGAAAGCACGGCAGTGGTGAAAAGGCGCAACGGGGGTAGCGACACATAACTGGGCAGACCACATTGTGCACACGGCTTAGCACACACAACAGCGTGTAGCCAACTTGCCGCACACAACTTAGCGCACTGCGCGTGGACCCACCTTTGACGTACACGTACTGAATGAAGGAGAAGTTGAAAATGAAGTCCAGCGCGTTGGGAATGGGGTGTACATACGGAGAAACCTCCGTGCAGGCAATCACATCGTCGTCCCTCAAAATGTCATATACGTAAAAATCGAATGGCTTGCTGTTAATATTAACGAGAAATAAATATTTCACAAATTGCACGAACAGATTTTGGAAGAGATTTGGATTAATCTGTGTATCCTTGAAAATGAGGAGAATGGTTAAGAAGGGGAGGGGGAAAAAGGACTTCTCTTTTGCCTCCTCTATGCACTCCGTCGTGTGCTTCGTGGACTGCTTCGTGGACTCCTCCCCTTTGTAGCCCCTCTGCAATTTTTTAAATAAGTCCATTTTCTGCTGTAAGTTACATTTAATTAGCGTCTCCACGTTAATGTACTGGCACAGGAAGTGGAAGTCGAAAATGTGTTCTTCCATTTTGTAAAGATTGACGTTATATATTTTAGCAAACAAATAGTAATAGTAACACTGCTGCTTCTCATACGGTATGATGATCAGTTTGTTCTCGAAGAGATACTGGAATGTCTGCTTTACCTCCTGCATGATGAGGTCTCTACAGTTGAGAGAGCTTCTACAACTGGCACGATTTTTCTTTTCCTCCTTTTGGTCCATTTTAAAAAATTTCAGTGTGTACAAGGAGAGGAAGTCTATCATGTCCTTCTTCGTCTTGATCAGATTCAGCTCGATGAACTCCAGGATGAATTTGCACAATTGGAAGTTGTGGAGCTTTGTCTTCAGCTTGCACACATCTCCGTCATCATGGAGGATTTTTTCCATGTACGCCTTATCGCACGGCGTGAGGAAGATCAGCACCTTCCCGTCGCAGTCCAGGTCGTAGTCCCTCACGGGGGGGGACGCGGAAGCTTCGCTACTGCTTAGCGCCCCACCTACTACACTGCTTACTCTGCTACTCACCGCCCCATCTACTACACTGCTTACTCTGCTCCTCACCGCCCCATCTACTACACTGCTTACTCTGCTA